TGTGTGTGTGCAGTAATTTAATACATAAACTAGAGCCATGGGGTATTGTGTGTGTTTGACTCTCTCTTATTAGGGTATTGTGGGGTGTTTTCTTTTCTATTAAGGGGTACATATTATTATCATACAAGCTGAATATTCCTTTTTCTTGCTTTACTGTGCTGTTACTGTTTCTTTTTCTATTCCACTGTGAGTAGTTGTGCCCTGCATCCACTCACTATGTGTGTCCCTTTTTCTTTCTTCTTTTACTTTTCAACACTTGATGCATTAGACCTGGTGATTTTAAGTGAAAACAACAAGAACAACAACTTTTGTCATGATGCTGCGCTATTCGATCTATGCACTAGCTTTGCTTCTGATTGTTACCTCTCTATGTGGGGGGACTGTAGAGGCTCAGGATGCAGGTGATAATCGTGTTCTTGATACTGAATCTAAAACTAAACTTCTTTCTCAGATAGAGGAAAAGATTGAACCTCCCCCTCCTGGTAAACCTGGGCCTCAGGGTCCTGCTGGTAAAGAAGGTCCTCCTGTTACTTGTCCTTCTGTTGCTGACGGTGCTACTGTCGGTAGTTGTCCTCCTGCTGCTGATAAAATTCCTGGTGTTGGTGTGCCTGGTCCAGCAATTGCAGGCCCTGGTGGTCCTTCTGGTGGGAGTTCAGGTTCGAGTTCATCCAGTTTAAATTCCCATCTTCCAGAACTTGGTGATCCTCAAACAAGGAATGTAAACGAACGCGATCCACAAAGTGAAGACAACGATGGATCTTCGTTAGAGAATAAATCACAAGGGCAAGGTGAGAGGGAAACACAGACACAAGAAGTAAATACTCATAATGACCTATCACAATCATCCAGTAAAGACGGTGAAAGTGAGTCTTCTGCATTGCAAGACACTGCTTCGAAACAAGAGCAACAGGCGCCAGTAAACACAGTGAACTCTCAATCACAAACGCAGTCAAATGAGACACAAACTGCACAGACCACGCACACAACAGAAGAAGCACCTTCTGCTCCCACATCCCATAATACAGATAACGCTTCCACCAAGAATCCATCTACAGATATTACCCATAACAATCACTCTGATAATGGAACTAA